GTCACTGAAGTGTAAATATTCATGATTCTGTACAGTAAAAATGGGTACCTGTTGCTGTTTGTAAATTACACCTCAATTAGAAAGAAAAACCCAGAGGCTCAGAGTAAGTAATTTGCCCAAGACCCCATCAAGACAGTGTCAGGGCCATCCTACCCTGGAGCTCTCCACCATCTCCTGGTCTCACACTGCCTTCCTCCATTCAACACACACTTATTATATAACTGCTATGTGCCAGGTGCTGGGCTGTAAGCACACCAGAAAAGTTCTCTGCCCTCATGTTCCAGAATACTCTGGAATGTGTATTCTAATGGGAAAGACAAGCCTGAGACACACAAACCGATCAATGACCAAGCCTTTCCTGATAGTGATAATTGCCATGAAGGCAATGGGCTAAGAGTGACCAAGGAGGGAGAGACTGCTTTAGCAGGGACAGCCTTTTTGAGGAAGTGATATGCCAGCTTTAAAAAAAGCAGCATACAGAATATCCTAGGATGTTCCAGGACATTCCAGAACATTGTGGAAGGGCCCAGAATATTTCAGAGCATTTCAGGTGAAAGTAATGTATAGGCCCCAAACCGGGTGCCAGAAGGAGCCTGAGGGACATGCGACCACATTGGCTAGGGTGACATGGGCAAGGCTTAGAGCAAGGAGGGAGAGTGTTGACAAAGATGTATTGGGAGCAGCCTCCTGGAGTGTGGGACACAGCTGTGACTGAGACTGCTCGCGCGCCGCATCTGGCAAAGAGGACATTTATTAAACCAATCATCACACAAGCAAAGAAGCAATAACTTAATTGTCAACATGATAGAGGTTTCAGTCGGGGCATAGTGACTTAGGGGGATTGGGCTGAACCAGGAGGGCAGAGAGGGACATTCAGGCTGACGAGTTGGCCAGGAAGAAGGCAGAGTCTTCCACACAGAGGGAACAGCCTATGTGAAGACCCTGAGGAGGGAAGAATGTCAGGAGCTGTTTAAAGCCTGGCCCTGAACAGGTGCCTAGGCAGCCCCCAGCTGGGACCTGGCCTGCACCTCCTACACACATCCAGTAGGGAAAGAAATGAGTCCCCATCATTCCCTCAAAGCGTAGATGGAGTGTCACAGAGACACCTTGCTGCCTCCCTCCTTTCCTTGGCAGATTACTATCCTGGGCCCAGAACTCAGGCCTGTCACCAGGGAACCAAGAATGCTGGTTGCTGTGGCAACCCTGTGCTTCAGGACACATGGGCATTCCTGCCTGTTCCCATGACACCAGCCACTCACCCACCCTCCACCAGGTCTGCATTGGATGCGCTGAGGAAGGCAGAGAGAAGGCCAGAGAGGGTGGTTTCCCAGGTGCCTTGCAGAATTGAGAGGGCAGATAAAACAACTGAGGCTCAGAGAGTTGTGTTGAGTCAGGGCTCCTCCACAAGGTCACCTGCGTAGCCCCCACTCCTGGTAGGAGCCCCAGACAAAGGCAAAGGGCCCTCTCTCTCCTGAGATTCCAGAAAGGACCAGAAGGCCTTTGCTTGGCACTTGGGCCTCTCCCCCAAGTGAAGCCCTAAGAAGGGCAGGTGATGTGAGCAGGAATTACTTGTCTCTGAACACACACACACACACACGCATGCGCGCGCACACACACACGCATGCGCGCGCACACTTCCAACACACACCCATGCACCTGGGACACCTTTCCTCCTCCTTATATTCTATCCATCCCTCAAAGCCCAAGTCAGCTGCCACATCTTCCAGGCAGCCATCACTCATCACATGCTTGAAGGGACTCCTCTCCCCTCTCTACACACCCACAGTGTTCACGGTTTCTACCCTCACCACCTGGTGTTATTCATTCCACATCTGCGAAGCATCCACTCTGGACACAGCCCTGGGTTGGTCACAAGGACTTTAAGAATTAATGTACTAGACACACAGTGACAAACAAAACACTCTGCCCTTGGGGTTCAGTCTTGAGAGAGGGGAGGGAGGACAAAGAGATAGGGATCTGTGACAACTTTTCAGTTCCAAGATGCCCAATGCAAACTGACAAAAGAAACAGTGTGGACTTCAAGGCACAGCTTGATCCAAGACTACCAGTAGTGTCATGAAGACACAATCTCGCTGCATCAGTCTGGAAGGCTCTGTCATTGTGGAGACACATATGGCCCCTGACCGCTCCAAACTCATATCCTCCCAGCTCAACAACTGCAGTTAACAGGGCATGTCTCTCTCCCAAAAAATCCCACTAATACCAGAGGAGGCTTAGGTCATGTTGCTCAATTTCCCCTGAGCCACATAGGTTTCGTCAAAGCATACCAGAGTTCTGTTAGAAAGGAATAAGAGGGTGCCAGGTGCCAGGTCGATTTCTACCAAGTGCATGATGGCATTCCCAGGGGAAGGAGCTACTGTAGCAAAGGCCTGGAAGCTGGGCCATTGATGTTACTGCAGGAAGCAGTGAGAACAGAGCCCATTTTGTTGTCAGACCAAAAGGTGGGAGGGACATGAGAGGAGAGATAGCTGCCAGGTTGTTGAGTATTGCAAGCCCTTTAAACGATAGGCAGAAGGAATTAGGTGGTATCTGAGGATAATAGGAAGTCATGAGGGTCAGCAGGGGCGGGACATGGTCTGACCCCATGTAGGGAATAAACTGAACAGGGTAAGGCTACTTCTGGGGTCTGAGAGGGAAACGAAGAGACACCCAAGCAAAAATAATTATTGATCCCTTGCTCTATGCCCCGTCACCAATGAGATCTGTGGGAGCTGCCTTCATAGAGCTTATAAAATTATGTTGTACAAATGTTGAAACAAGCAATTACTAATTATTTAATAATTACTTAATAATTACTGTAAGCACAGGAAGATTGGCAGGGAGCTAAACATGGATATAACAGGAGATGCTAGCCTAGTCGGGCAACTGGGATGTCTTCTGAGGAGGAAGAGCACTTGGACAGAGCATGGCTATGAGGGTGTTCCTGACAGAGGGAAATGCAAATGCAAAGGCCCTGGGGTTGGAAGGAACAAGGTAAGCCCAAGGAATCTAGAGAGAGCCTGCGGGGCTGGCGCAAAGCGAGTGAGAGACAGAGCCTCTGTAGGAGTGGTTCATGTTAGTGGGACCAGATTATGGGAAGCCGTTTTGGTACACGTGGGTATTTGGGCTCCTTGCAGCAGCAGTAAACCCAGGAAAAAGGTGATGTCTGCACAGAGCTGGAGGGTGGCTGGAGGGAAAGCAGAGAGTCCCAAGAGGAGGCAGGAGGCTAGAGTAGTTGGGTGAGAGGAGGTGGTAGCTTGGACCTTGGTGACTGCTATGGAGATAAAGAGAAACATGTAAGCTAGAGGTTGAGGGGACAGGCCCTGCTGATGGAATCAGGTGGAATGAGGATGGGGAAAAATCAAGGGGCCACCTAAATGTCCAGAGCCATTGAGATGGGGAGGCCAGGGGCAAGGTAAGGATGCACGGGAAAGGACCACCAGGGGACCCTTCCAGCTGGGCTGAGCAGTTCCAGAAGCCATTTAAAATGACAGTAAGGATGTTCACACATCATTGTGGTTGAGCCTAATCCCACTGATTTGTACACTTAAAAACTGGTTAAAATGGCAAGTTTTATGTGGACTGTATATTTTACCACCACCACAAAAAAAAAGAGGAAAAACCTTGAATGCACACCAACTCAAACTAAAAAAAATGAAAAATGCAGTTCTTCAGTCACCTAGCCACATTGCAAGGGCTCCATAACACCATGTAGCTGGGCATGGTGCAGACAGAATGTTTCTGTCATCGCAGAAAGTTCTATTGGGCAGGGCTGGCCTGCCTCCACTTCTCATCTCTGTTCAGGTCTCATGTCCCGGCAATGTTCTCAGGGGTGGACCTGAAACCCAAACCTGGCCCAGGATGACAACCAGGGGCCTAGATTGCCTTTATGTTGAATCCTGATGCTCACGGTATCAGGCAGGGTGCTGGCAGCAGCAGAAGCCAGTGAGAATGGACTATTCAAGAGTGTTATAAAGAAAGAGCCCTTTGCAAAGGTATGGACAGGGTTGAGTAGCTGATATGGGTTGTACAGTACGGAGGACAAGCAACAGTGGGTGAGCTGTTACCATATCCAGGCTGAAGGCTCACTTGGTGGAGCTGTGGCCTTGGGTTGGGGGACTCAGGAAGGGACAGCAGAGAGGAACACCTGCCTTCTCATGGCTCCTTCTTCCCACCTCCTGCTAGTCCTGTCATCCCCCTCTCCCACTGCATTGGCTGACTCTAGCAAAAGGCAGAGGGCCCAAGTGATCAACCACCAGGGACACAGGGCAAGGCGAAGGATGAAGGGACCAATAACCGGCCCCACTCAGCTCCAACTCAACTTCCCCTACCCACCCACCCACCCATCACCCACAGGCCTCCATCAGGCTCTGGAAACCTCCACCCCATTGACCACCACAACCCTCATCCCAAACTCTCCCCAGAAGAGACCCCTGCCAACCAGGAACAGAAGCAACTCCAGTTAACTAAACTAAAAGGGGACTTATTGGAAGGATCTTGGGAAGCCCGCAGAATGTACAGGAAGGAAGGAGAGCCATGCCTGTGGCCTCCTCAGGGAGGGCTGCTCCTGCCCTGCAAGACTCCTCTCCGATGCCAAGTGCAGGGAAAGAATGCCAAGGCTGAACCCCTTGGGCAGGGAAGGAGAGAGGACCCATAGACCGTGCCCTGAGATGGTCCCCAATGGGGCAGAGCTCCATCTCCAAAATAAGGGAGGATGGGAGTCAGGTGGCTACAAAATTAGCAAATGTCCTCTTCCATTTCAAAGCAGGTACCTGGGAGCACAGGAAGGGGCACTGACCCACAGGGACACCCTCGTTACAAATGTGATGTGGGCTGGGCAACAGAGGTGCTGTCCTTCTAGGTGGCAGGTGGTTCACACACCTCGAGCCACAGGGAGTTCACAGGGCTTCCCCATCTCAGAAAGGGTCTGGTGGGCAGAGGTCATGGCCATGCTCAGGCCACTCTTCCAAGGGCCGATGGAAAGACAAACAGAAGCAGACTTGGTCCAAGACATATTTTATGTACATGGTTTATTCCTCCCAACCCCCATGCTGCAATTCCAGCCTCAGCTGCCTACCTCTATCCCCACAGCATGGAGCTGCCCACTGCCTCTTCCTGCAGGGGCCTCCTCCCATGGGGCTGGATCTCTAGAGGTGGGGTAGGGAAAAAGAGAGGCTTAGCACAAGGCTGCTCCCCTGCAGCCTCAGCCCACTCCCAGAGGAAAGTGAAGAGGAAGGAGAAAAGCGGCACAGAACTGGGGTTCAAATACTCAAGAAGCTACACGATAGAAGACAAAAAGTAGCACGCTCCAGGGAAAGGGGGGCCCAAGGCCAGATCCCATCCCCTCCCATGGGGGCATGGTGACCCCAGGATCCAGAGGAGTGAGGGATGGGACGAGAGAGAGAGGATTTGGGGATGCAGGAGCCCAAAGATGGTCCCGCCCTGGCCTGGACCCCTGGGCACAGGGCATTGAGGATAGAGGAGCCCTTGCGCTTGGCAGTGCTCGGGTGGAGACAGGCCTACAGCTTAGTCAGGTCCAGCTTCAGCTTGTAGGGTGGGGGGCTGTCCCCAAAGGCGTGGGACGGGGGAGGGTACAGCGGCCAGTCTGGCTCTACCATGAAGCCCTTGTGTTGCTCCAGGGTCAGGGGCTGCAAAGGAGGTGGAGGAAGGGCAGGTTACTGAGTCCCCACCCTGCAAGGCTCCTTCCCACCCCTGATCTCAGGTCACGCCAACTAAGGGGGGCCTTCTTCCCCATTTCACAAGGGAATGAAGAAATTTGCCCAACGTCACACAGAAAGTCAGGGGGCCCTGCCTCCACGGAGAGGGGATAGCCCTATCCAGGAAAAGGGAGCAGCTCTCCCCCACCCCTCCTCCTGGCCTGCCCATTGGCCCAGCCCACCTGGAACTTGAGGTGCTGGCCAGGCGCAGTCACCAAGGTGGAGCAGCTCAGCCACAGCATCACCAGCACAGAGAGGAAGAGGCAGCAGGCCAGGATCCAGCGAGGAAGCCCCGAGCGCCTGCCCAACGAGACAAGCATGCTCAGCAACCCTAATGGGGTCTGGGACACCCCCCCCTCCTGCCCCACCCCCACCCCCAGGGTCCTGCCACCCACCGGGACATGCAACTGAGGAAGTCGTTGTCCTGCAGCTCATCAGACTCCACCTTGGCCTTGCTGCTGGTCTTGACTCGGATCTTGGCCTTCCTCACCTTGTCCAAGGGGCCTAGAGGGTCTGAGACACAGGTTGTTCTGCAGTGGCCACCACGCTTTCCCCAAGAGGCCACAGCAGCCATGGAGAGGAGAAAGGAGGCCAGGACCTGGGACAATGGGGCATGGAGTCCTGGAATAGATCAGAACCCTGGGAGATGGACCACGGACCCCTGGATGATGAACCATGGAACCTTGGGAAACTACAGAACCCTTGGGAGAGGGACAACAGAACCCTGGAAACGGACCAAAGAACCCTAGGAGCCAGACTACGGAATTCCAGGAGTTGAGACAGAAATCCCAATCCTAAAGGGTTCATTTGCCAGGAGGACTCCTTATGGCAGTGGAGCCACCTGTGGAAGGAACACTGGTCTAGGCTCAGACCTTACCCACGTGCACCTCCAAGGCCTCAGGATGAGATCCCCGCCAAATCACCTCCACTCGCTGCAGACGGGCCCCCTCGTGCCCCAGGCTTTCTACCACAGGCTGGGTCTGGGCCGAGAACAAGACAGCACAGAGAAGCCCTTTAGAAAGTCACCACCTTGGCCCTGGGAAGCACCACTCTGTGTCCCAAATGGGCTACACTGTCCCATGCCCAGCTGGCACCTAGTTCTACTGGATGCAGGAAGGGCAATCTCCCGTGGAGCTGTGGGCTGACTTCAGGGATGCTGTTCCCTACTGGTGAGGGCCCTTCAATTTACCTTGAGCCCAGCCTCCAGCCTCTGAAATAAGAACATGCTCCAGGCCAGGCCAACAGAATCACAGGGACTGGCTGAGAGGGGGTCACATGACCCAGACAAAGCCAATGAGAGTAAACCTCAGCTTCGTTAAAACTCCAGAGAAGTTGTGCTTTTAGAGCCTTAGGCATCCACCCTGTTATCAGGGGGAAAGTGCTTGCCTGGGAATAAAGCCACCACGAAGAAAGCAGAATCAGGGGTAGAGTGAGACACTGAACCCCTGCATCCAGCAGTACCTGAAGCTTACTTGATCACCTGTGGACTTTGCATCCCACGAGCTAAGAACGAATGTATCCCACTTTCTTACCCTGATCACCCACCCACCACTCTGGTGTGGCCCCTGCCAGACCCCTCACCTGGAACACCACCACCTTCCCATTGTCAGTCTGCAGGTAGTATGTCCAGGTGGAGGAGACGAAGCCCTGGGCCGAGTTGACAAGGTCATTGCAGAGGGTAGAAAACAAGTCCAGAAGCGAGAGAGCCCCACTTGGAGCTTCCAGGACCTTTCTCTGCCAAGGGGAAGCCCAAGGCATGAAATGTGACTAAGATAGGACATTGACTGATGGCAGGGGAGCTGGGCAAGTCCAATGTGATCAGAATTCCCTAAGCGGTTTGGGGCAACAGAGCTTCATACAAGGAACACAGACCTCAGTGCTGCATTCGGCTGGCTCCGTGCCCTCAGAGAAATGGATTGTCCTCTCTGAGCCCTAAAATGGGAATGATTCTCTTCCTTCATGGGGTTGCTGTGAGATTTCAACTAGACAATGGCACAGCACAAGTACCTAATATATAGTAGCTGCTGTTATTAAAAATTTCGCCATCATCATTATTCTTCATTTGATGGCATCAGGAGAGAACTCAGAATAGGAAGGAATGATAGTGCTCTATGTTTTTATGAACAATAAAAGCCTGGAGAGGGTGGAGGGAAATGGAGGAAGAGGGGACAGGGCTTTCTGGGGAATCCTAGCCCATGGGTCTCTCGCTGTGATGAATTATTTCCTGTGCTTCAGTTTCCCCTGATGCAGCATTGCCAAGACTCACTCATGACTATGACAGTTTAGTAGTTATTATTTCTCCCCAGTTTGGCGGGCGAGGAGGGCAGTGTGTGTATGCTTGGGAGGTTGCTTCTCCCTGAACCTTAGTTCTGAGCCCCCCAGATGACAGCAGCCACCTGTTCATTACAAGGAAAGTGCTCAGACCAGCACCTGGCATGCAGTAGATGGTCAATAAAGTCAGCTCTAATGCCACTGAATATGAGTGAGGTGAGGATTGGTCATAAGTTGTGGTGGCACTGGCTTTAGATGCACAGTCCTGTGTGACCTTGGGTAATTGTTCCGTGGGCATGACACAGGGGTGACAGGCTGCCCCTGGTGCCTCCAGGCAGCACGAGAAATTTGGGACAGGCTGAGGTCAGGCCTGGCCCAGGAGAAATGCTTGTTAAACAATGGCTGTCTTCTGTTATTTACTTTTTGCAAGGTGGTGGGGTGGGGGTGTCATCCCATATTAGAGACGACAATTGAGGCTTGAGAAGTGACATGCTCAATCCAGGACACCCAGTAGGCCCAGAATAGAACAGAGAGCCTGGGAGACTCTGGATATTAGTACAGATTTGGGGGAGGGGAGTTGTGAGGAGGGGACATGAGCCCAGGGCCACAGGTGGGAGGAAGCCCACCTTCTGCTCAGACTCTGGCTCGTGCTCCGGCTCAGGATTCTGGCTCCAGCAGCCCTCGCTGCAGGCCTGCTGCTCTGTCTCCTTCATGTAGGCCTCCACGCAGGCTGCAAGGGCAGGAGGAAGTGACTGGGGGCAGCCCTTCCCAGGCCACCTTTCCCCAACCAGGCCCACCTGGCCAGCACTCACCTGCTTCACACTCAGCCTGTGTGGCATTGGGTTTCGAGCTCCTGGCCACAAACCGACAGATGGAGAAGAGGCGGCAGCCTCGCTCACAAGCACTGATGAAGACTGCCCTGTCATACTCCTTCTGGGACTTGGAGGAGTCTGCCTGCTTCAGGTCCTCCTGGGAGGGGGGACAAGGGGCTCAGACCAGGCTGAGGGGCAGGATGAGGTGAGCACTGAAAGCACTCAGGAGAGGAGGTAGAAGATTTGATTCCCCTCGCCCAAATCTAGGAAGGTTGGGATGGGGCTAAGAATATTAGTGTGGTCTCTTAGCTCTGAGGAGGATAGAGGGCTTAAGAAGGGGTTTGAACGATGGAGGATGCTGGGTTTGAGCAATGGTTAGAAAACTAGGGAAGAGGGAGGGAAATGGGCTTCCTAAGGCTCCAGGGAGGAGGGGGGAGATTGAGAGGAATTCTCAGTCCTGAGGAAGGAGGGGGCACTCAAAGGAGGCTTGTCACCCTTCAGGCCTGGAAAAATTGGGATCTAGCTTGGAGGAGGGGAGGAGCCGAGGATAAGAGTGGGGGCTGGTAGCTTGGGGGGGGGTTGTACGGAGAAGGATATGAAAGCTGCTTGGGTGGGGGAAGGAGGAGGATGGGAACTTCAGGCCCGAGGGAGGTGGGGGTTGGGCGCTTCACCGTTCTTGCGCAGCACAGTGTATGTAGCCAGAGCCCGCCAGGTGGCATTAGGGTCTTTAGTCCTCACCCCACTCCACGCTTGGAGGGAGCCCCCCCAGCCTTGCATTCATCGGAGGGGGGCCCGCACCCCAACAACCTTTTCCATCGCAGGGACCACCAGTCCCTCCCCCACAGGAGGAACACCCCCATCCCCATCGGAGGGGCCCAAACGCCTGCGCTTGCCGCCATCGAAGCGATTCCAGCCCTTTGCCCATCAGAGGAATCCAACCCCAAGGGAAAAACACCTCCCATTTCTGACCCCTTCCCCCTCCTGGGAACCTCTGTCTCCCGCTCCCAACCGAGGAACCCGCATCCCCAACCGAGGAACCTGCACCCCCAACCGAGGAATCCGCATCCCCAACCGTTCTTCGGGCTGGCGCCGCATGCGCGTCACCTGCGAGGGCTGCGGGCTAGGGTAGCGGTCACGGCACCGCAGCTGGCAGCTCTGCGTGTCCCCGAGCTGCGGGGAGAACGGGTCGCGGACCGGCGGCGCGGGCGTCGCGGGCGGAGGCTGCAGCAGCAGCAGGAGGAGCGGCAGCAGTGCCACCGCAGCCATAGCCAGGCCAGACGCGAGCGGCGCAGGACGCCGGCTCCCGCAAGCTCGGAGGATGCGGCGGCGGCGGGGACCGGATCGCTGACGTCACCCGAGCGGGGCAGCCTGGGAAGGAGGGGGCGGGGGATGCGGAGAAAGGGCGGGGCAGCAGCGCTGCGGCACTGTCTGGATGCCGGCAGGTGGATCGCGGCCCCCTCCGTCTGTCTTTTCTCGGGAGTGCCCTGACACCTCCCTTGTATCCACTGGCGAGGGGATAGCAGCCTGAGATAGGGGCCAAAAGGAAACAAATGGGGTGATGAGGTGGGAGAGGCGGTCTATTCGCCAGGGTATCAGGGAAGGCCTCCCGCAGGGGGCTGCGTTTGAGCTGGCCACGCCGGAGGGCAGTAGAGGGAAAAAGAATAGCGAGGACCCTGAGGCGAGGAAGAGGTTGTGGAAGAGGCGGTGGGAGGGTGGTGAGGTAGCCAGAGGGTGAAGATAAGAGGGTCGTGAGGATCGCAGGGATGGGTCAGCCAAAGCCTTAGGGATGGTCCCTGGCATCGTCTCCTTTGATACCCAAGTCAGGGGAGGCGGTAACTTGTGTGCAGTTTGCCACCTTTTAAGGAAGCTCTCCCAGCCGCACCAGGGCTCCCCTAGCCTTGCCTCTCTCAGGCCCAGCCCTAATCGACATACCTGGGGGATCTGGCCCTTGTTCCCCAAGACTGAGTGGGGCTGAGTGAGAGGGGGTATAGAGGTTCAGGCAGGAGTGGGAGGAGTTGCTAAAATTTCTAATTTTCATGGGAAAACTTAGGACAAACGGGCACGTCTGGCTTCCATAACTGCCGCACTCCAAGGTGACAGATTGTAGCCCCGTGAATCTCCGGTTAGGAGGTCACCCTAGCCTCTTCTCCGTCAGGCATGGGAGTGGGGGCACCCCTCTAAACCGGGGTCACTTGCAAAAATGACCCCTCTCCCTGGCGTGCCCCGCACAGGTGCTTGCGGAGGCCGCACTGCCGCCCGTGAGTCTTCAGTCTATGCTCCGCCCCTGCAGACGGGGCGGCAACCACTTGGGGTCAGCGGGTCAGAGGGCGCCGCAGGTTCCGGCCGGGGAGGAGGGGACGGCGTGTGGGGGGGGTGGCTGGAGCACCCCTCCCTTCCCGGGACGGCTGCTGCGCTTTCATCTCCGCGGCCTCAGCCGGCCCCCACGTGGCTTAATCAGGCGCGGCTGTGCCTGGCGGACCCCGAACATCTGGATCCCGACGCGCTCCTCCCCCGCCCCGCCCCTCCCGGGCTAGGCCGCCGCGACCTTGCGGCGAGGGCCTCCAGCCGCGTTTTGCACGAGTGCGGGGGAACCCCGCGTCTAACCCACCGCACGACAGGCCCGCACCTCGGGAAACAGCCTTTGGTTACGACCAGTACTGTCCCCCATTTCACAGGTGGGAAACCTAGGCCCCAAGACCCCTGGGAAGGGCTAGGATTCAAGCCTACACACGTCAGTTCCAGAGCTCCACGCGCTTAAGCCTTCCACAATTACCGTCCTACATTCATCCCAAACAAAATACATCCCAGGCATTTTCTTGCAAAAACCCTACAAGGAGGCACTGGTAGCGCCTTCCAGTTTACAATGAAGAAACTGAGGCTCAGGGTTGCCAAGAGGGTTCGTCAAGGTGACAAGCGTGAGAAGCAAAGAGAAGGGCAAACTGCAGAGGGAGGGGCGTCGGACATAAGAGGCGTCGCTTAGAGCGCAACAGGAAGGACACCCCCCAGTCCTTCTGCAGAGGGGAAACTGAGGCAGGAGGGATTGGACCACTGGCCTAAGTCTCCGGAGAGGAGGAGTGCGAAGGTCTGATTGCCGCCCACCCACCCCCCTTTCCGCTCCACTAGGCGGCTGGGGGCGGGAGCGGAAGAAGGACTTGACCCCGGCCCCCCAGGTGAGCCCCCGCGCCCCTCCTGCGGTTCCCGAGGGAGCAGGTCCAGGTGAGGGGCGGGAGGGCCGGCGGGCGGCCAGGGTCGGGTTTCAGGAAATCCGCCGACATTCCTTCGGGGCTTAAGAGGGAAAGTTGACTCGGCGCCGCCCCTCGCCCCCACCCCCACTTCCTACCCCCCGGGGCGGCCCAGCCGGGGGCGGCAGGCGGGGGCCCAGTGGCCGGCCAGGGCGTGAATCAGCCGCAGGCTCTGCGTCCAAGAAGGGGCAGCCGAGGTCAGAGCGGGTATCGGACAAGCGCCCTTTGTCCCCTGCCGCCCTCACCACGACCCCGCTGACCCCCATCCCTAAGCCGGGTACAGGCTGGGGAGAAGGCACGGCCCAGTGGCTTCTTCGCAAGCCGGCGCTTGCGTCAGTGGGGAAGGAGAGGAAAGAGGCACAGCTGTCTGCCCCCCAAATGCCAGCACCTCCTGGACCCCAGACATCGAGGTTCTCCAGGGTACAGAGGGCAGGGAACTTAGGCCTCCGTGGCTCAGAGCGCACTGACCGTGATCTAGAACTAAGCAGTTCTATGCTTCTGGGACCCCCACCTCTAATGTCGGTAACCCAGGCACCCCAGCTCCCCAGACTCAGCCTCCCTGGTAGAAATGATAAAGCCCCACCGTCTTGTGCACACAGGTTTTAAACCTAGTTCTGCTGCTCCAACCCTGGATCCAGGTCCAGAACCTCACTGTTGCTGCTTCCTGGGAATACTGGCCTGGAACATAAGGCAGCTAATCTCATTCTAAACCCTAAGCACGGGGGTAGCACATGGGAGAGGCAGCCCTGTGCCCTCCTGACTCGCACTGGCTCTGGGTCCCTAAGGGACCCTGAAGGTGATGTAACCACAGCATCCTCCCAGTGCCCCCTCAGTGCCCTGGAATGACGCAGGGAGCTGGGGCTGGAGAGTCATCCCCAACCTAATCCTTATGTGCAGAGGGTGCAAGACTACAGAGGAGCCCTTCTCCCAGCCCATGTGAGGCCCTCCCTCAGTCTGCCCCCTCAATACATTCCCAGCTTCCTTCAAGGACTTGCGTCAATATTTGCTAGAAGTTCCATCAATGCTGGTTACTCTTCCTGTGCAAAGAGGTGGTGTGACTGGGGAAGAAGGGGTTAAGCCACAGGGGCACCAAGGGCGAGGAAGGGCAGATCTCTCCTTAAAAGTCAAAGGTATGGGGTCAAGGTCACCCAGAGGGCAGAGGGCACACTCCAGGGTGGGGCTGGACAGAACTGGGAAATCCAAAAGATCCATACCCTTTTACAAGTTAAGACCAGAGAGGAGTTAGCTACTGGATGGGTCACACAACATACCAGGGGCACAGGTTTGGCTGGGCCCCCTGGCAGCATGATTTGCTGGGACTGAGTTTTCTTGCTGCTTGGAGGGATTGAGAATTCTCTTATCTTTTCAGTTTGTAAATGCTCACTGAGCTCTTCTCCATGGTCCTTGCTTGGCCCAGTGTGGGGTCCTAATGGCTTTCAGGGTGCTCACAGTCTAAAGGAAATAAGTCGCTGGAGAAAGATGATGTTTGAAGAGCTGTGTTACAAAGATCATTTACAAAGGGAAAAGGAATAGAGAGTGCCTGGGAAAGGTAGGGGGCCCCTCTGAGAATATGACACTTGACCCGTGACCTGATAGAAAAGAAGGCGCTAACTGGAGGAAGATTTGGGGGAACTGCATCCCTGCAGAGGGAACAGCAAATGCAGAAAGAACCTGCCTGGTTGGTGTGTTTGGGAAAATGGGGCTGGAGTGGAGTGAAGGAGGGGAAGGGGAAGAAGAGGGTGGAGAAGAGGAGGGAAGTGTGGCAGGGCAGAAACGACCAGCTTCACTTATTTCAAAAATTCCCTCTGCCTGCTGTGCAGAAAGGGGCAGGAGGGTTACAGGGAAGCCTGGGAGGAGGCCGGGTGGCACTCCAGAGGGAGGTGGTGGGACCTGGACCCAAACGGGGTGGGGAGAAGAGGTCAGAATCTCAGGATGGGGCTGTGTTTTGGAATCAGAGCCAAGAGGATTTGCTGATGGATGGGACATGGGGGATGTGCAAAGGAGAGTGTTGTCACGCACGCCTCCAGGTCTCTGGCCTGAGCACCTGGGTGGATGGGGGAGCCTTTTGCTGAGATCCGGAGATGACTGGGGGAGGAGCAGAGATTGGGGGGAAATATCAAGATTTTGCTCCAGAAGTCTGAGTGAAGTCCTCCAAGGAGGGAGTCAAATGTTGAAGGGCAGAGTTTGTGGGGAGCAGGGGTGATACATATCCTGGACAGAATTCCAGCCAAGAACTGCCACCTGCACTTCACCTTCTGGACAACCTGGCAGGTGGGACTATGACTCTATTTTTCAAAGGTGACCAACTGAGGCCCGGGGACCACCTCTGCTCCAAAAGCAAGAACCCCCATTGCTCAGCACTATGCTAACCGCTTAGACTGTAGGATCTTGTGCTGCCGGCATCTTCCCACAGAAACCCTTAAGCTGACTGGGAGTTGCCCACTGTGCAGAGGGGGAAACTAAGGCAGAGGCCTGGCTGGCCCCAGTAAAGGGCACTGTAGCACTAACCGGCTTTACCCACCCCCAACCCATCCAAAGTCCAGATTGAGGGGTTGCGCAGAGCCCCCAGCACCCCATCCTCCAATCCTCTTTTCTGACAGTTTGGGGTCTGAGTGGAGACCCAAGTATCAGGGGTGCAAGGCAGCTTTGAGCAAACAAGGTGGGGGCTCCTGAGACCCCCTCCGACAGTTTTACCCCCCTTGGCTGGTTAAGGACATGGGCGAGGGGTCTCTAAGGGAACCCCCCCAGAAGCTCTGGAGAGTTAGAGACTTTCCCCTGTCCCGGCACGCGGCTGGGGGCGGGGCTTCGACTCAAACCGCGGGCCGGGCGGGAACTCTCATTTCAGACACCCCTCCACTGCAGCCTTGGAGGCCAGGAACCCTTTTATCTTGGGCGCACGGATCGGCTAGGGTACGGAGAGGAGGGGGAAGAGGCGTCTGGGCTGGAAGGGGGTCCCAAAACCCAAACAATCGCCAAAAATAATAACACGGAGAAGGGTCCCTGCGCAAAAATAGTAAGACGAACTATGCGTCGCTCCCGGCAGCCAGCGTTGGTTACCTGGAGTCGGCGGGCGGCGGCCGCCGAAGCGATTACTCACTGCGTGGCGCACCCCACCCGCGGGCCGCTGAGCGGATTTTTCCGTGGGGGGTGTCAATGAGTCCGGGGGGGCTCCTTACCGCTCTCGTTCTGGGCATCCCTCCTGCCCACCGGCGGGATCCGCGCAGGCCCCTGTCCCCGTTCCCACGGGGACCTATTTCCCCCGTCTGCCCACGCTGGAGCTCCCTCCTGAGGCCCCCGGGCGCCCCGAGGAGCCTCAGCCCCATCCTGCGCGAGAGGGACAGCTGAGCCAGGGTGAGGGCTGGGGACTCCGTGCTTCCAGTTTTTTTTTCTGTCTTCCCTCTAGCAAAGCCTGGGCCGGAGGCTGCCCGCAGAGGACAGAGGAGAGGCGGGATGCAATGGGAGGGGGGCAGTTGGGCCGTGACTGGTGGGGTCCGCGAACCGAGAACGTGGGGCGGGTAGGGAGAGACTTTCAGGCCCCTGGGGAGGAAAGGAGGCTGGAGATGGGAGCAGGAGGGGTTCAGGGACCCCAGCCTTCAGTGGGGGGGCGGGGCCATAGCTGGGGTGGGGGCAGAGACAGAGGATTGGGGGGAGAGGAGAGGGCCAGGGCTGAGGGCCGCAGGGGACACTGAAGGGGCACAGGGCCGAGAGCAGGGTGCAGGGTAGTGGGTGGGAGTATGGAAACAAGGTTGGGGGCGCCAGGTCCTAGATTGGGGGTGGGGAGCCTGGAGCTGGCTGGGTTGGAATGGGAGGTCCCAGGCCGGTAGGGATTGAGCAGGGGGTTCTGGGCCGCGGGACAGGGCGCGCGCGGTGCGCGGAGG